ATTCGAGGAAAACAGCCCGAGCCAAGGAGAAAATTGAAGTCCGCTCGGCTGCAGCTGCTGCTCGCGCCCCCTCCTCCGAGAAAAGCTCCCGCCCGGCCCCCCCCCACCCCCGGGGTCAAGACAAAGTTCAGGGCCCGGCCAAGGTACGCAAGCCAGGCGTCACCCATCACCACCTGGGCAAAAGCCGCTCCCCGCTCACCCCATGCCGTCGTCCGGGTACGGCTCGTAGTCTTCCACCCGCATATTGTACTTCTTGGCAGCGGCGGCCCGTTCCTCGGGGGTCCTGGGGTAGGGCCCCGGGAGCATGTCCTTAGTCATGTGGAAGGCTGCAGCGGGGAAGGGGGCAGGGGGTCAGACGCGAGTCCTGCCGCCCCCCTCGGTGTCGAGCTGCAACGACCACGGAGGCTCGGGTGGGAGACCCGGCGAGACCCCCCCACCCCCCGCGGTGACTACACTAACCCCACCTCCGCAGGGCCGCCGCGGTGCGCACCATCCCCACCCACTCCCGGCACGCCGAGCTCCGGACAACCCCTGCCCACACTCAGGCCGCGCCCGCCCTCGCCGACCTGTCCGTGCCCCCGCCGGCACCACGCTCCGGACTGCCCTTTGCAGCCATCGGACTCCCAGGGCCCCGGCCATGGCCGCCGCCATCTTCACCTTCGCTCCGGTTCCCCCTGCACATGCGCAGAGGGCCCGTTACGGCGGCTGAGCAGGGCCAAACGCGCCGGGTGGGGTTGGGGGTGGCGGGGAATTGAAGGGAAAAATGAAAGCCCTAAGGGCTCAGCAAAGGCCGAGTTTGAGTGGTGTTGGGAGGCTGAAGAGCGAGGGAGTGGACTGGGAGGGGGCCAAACAGAAAGGGGGAAGGAAACCCGAGAGGGCATTGATTTGGTGTTTCAGAGTGTTCCTTTTTCTCTCTGAACTCAGACGCATCTCAGGCTAATGGGGACTCAGAACCCGAGTATCTCAAGTGGACAGCTCCCCACCTCCCCCAGGAACAGAACAAATAAAATGAAATGTCAGTCTCTTTAACTGGCCTTTGCCTTTTTACCACTCCTTCACCGACTTTTTCTCCTGGCACCCTCCCCACCCTCACTCCCCACGCCTGGCAATGACGGTTCTTCAAATCCAGCTGTTGGCTTTGCTCTCTTGTTCTTCAAGTTGGTTAACTTCTTTCTCTTAGTTCACTTACTAGTGCAAACGTACGAATCGGCTCCAAATTGGCTTCTCATGTCAATCCATGTTTCCACTTAAGTCACTCAACCCAACAGTTTTCAAACCAATCCCACCATCAGTGGCAGCTCTCTGGAGGCATCCTAAGAAGCCTCCGGTTTGCTAGGATTGGGGTAAATAGATTGTAAGTGGAATCAACCGTAATTAATAAACACTAGATTAACAGAAAAACAGAGAGCATTATTAAGCTTATATATAAATTAAGCTTGCACTTTATTTATACACCTGGATGTGCACATTCCTATACGCTGATTTCCTAAAGCTTTTGGAGTGTTCGCTGTTTTGAAGCAGAGTGTACTATTAAAAACAGTCTCATTTATATATCTCAAAGCAGTAAAAATGAAATTCTATATATTATATAATTTTTTGGGAGGACTACTTCATAGCAACTTGCCCTCATATAACAATTTTTTGGCATGAGCTTTTGAAAGATTTAATACCTTTATTTTATTTTATTTTATTTTGGGGTTTGGGGACACACCTAGCAATGTTCAAGTCTTACTTCTGGCTCTGCACTCAGGGAGCACTCCTGGTGGGCTCAGGGGACATATACAGTGCAGGGATGTAACCCAAGTTGACTTTGTGCAAGGCAAGCACCTTACCCAATGTGTTATTGCTCCAGGCCTGTATTTAATACCTTTTATTTATTTATTTAAATTTTTATTTATTTTTTGCTTTTTGAGTCACACCTGGCAATGCATAGGGATTACTCCTGGCTCTGCGCTCAGGAATCACCTCTGGCAGTGCTCACGGGACCATATGGGATGCTGGGAATCGAACCCGGGTTGGCTGCGTGCAAGGCAAATGCCCTACCCGCTGTGCTATCGCTCCAACCCCTGTATTTAATACCTTTTAAAAATGTACTTAGGGGCTGGAGCGATAGCACAGCGGTAAGGGTGTTTGCCTTGCACGCAGCCAAGATGGCCAATACAGGTTCGATTCCCAGCATCCCATATGGTCCCCTGAGTGCCGCCAGGAGTGATTCCTGAGTGCATGAGCCAGGAGTAACCCCTAAGCATCGCCGGGTGTGACCCAAAAAGCAAAAAAAAAGTACTTGGCAGGCTTCATCAGTGGCTTCTTTGATCCTGGAAATTTATGTGTGGAATGGTTTTTATTCCTAATCAACTCTACTTGCTACAGACTTTGAGGGGAGTGTGCTGGGAATCAAACCAGGGCTCCTATGTGCAAGACATGTGCTCTACCACTGAACTACATGTCCTGTACGTCACTGTCCTCCCATTTTTCATCGATTTGCTCGAGCGGGCACCAGTAACATCTCCACTGTGAGACTTGTTGTTACTGTTTTTAGCATATCAAATACGCCAATGGGAGCTTGCCAGGCTCTGCCGTGCCAGTGGGATACTCTTGGGAGCTTGCCAGGCTCTCCGAGAGGGACGGAGGAATCAAACCCGGGTTGGCCACCCTGGCAAACACCCTACCCACTGTGCTGGACCAAATTTAAATTTTAAATTCATTCTTATGTCAGTTATTGTAATTTGTGCTTTTCAATAAATTTTTCTTTTTTAATCTAAGTCATCTAATTTGGAGGAATACAGTTATTCATAGTATCCCTTTATCTTCTTCCTTTTTTATTTTTTGGGTCACTCCCGGCCATGCACAGGGGCTACTACTGGCTCATGCACTCAGGAATTAATCCTGGCAGTGCTCGGGGGAACATATGGGAATCTGGGAATCGAACCTGGGTTGGCTGCATGCAAGACAAACAACCTACCTGCTGTGCTCCAGACCTTATCTTCATTATTTTTGAAAGTCCTAATTCATGTTCTTAATTCTTGAGCTTGGTAATTGAAATATTAATTTATTTTTAATTCCAAAAATATAGACCAGTATATTCTTGTTTTTTATTTTTTTTTATTGAATCACTGTGAGATACACAGTTATAAAGTTGTTCATGATTGGGTTTCAGTCATACAATGTTCTAATACCCTTTCCTTCACCAGTGTACATTTTCCACCATCAATGTCCCCAGTTTCCCTCCGGCCACCGCCCCCCCTCTCCAATTTGCCTTTACAGTTTACAGCAGGCACTTTCTCTCTCTCTCTCTCTCACTCACTTTCTCTCTCTTTCTCTCCTTACTTTTGGGCATTATGGTTTGCAATCCAGTACTAAGAGGTTATCAGGTATATCCCTTTACCTACTTTTAGCACTTAGCTCTTGTCCGAAGTGACCATTTCCGAATATTGTTGTCATAGTGGTCCCTTTTCTAACTTAATTGCCTCCCCCAACACACATCTGTGGCAAGCTTCCAATCGACAACTGTATTCTTGTAAAAATTCAAACACTGCAGATAAATCTGACTCCTTGATTGCCACCCTAATTTACCTTGATTACCTTGATTGCTCAGAAGTAACCTAACTATCATTTCGGTGCAGCATACTCTGTAGCATAACATGTAACCCACATAGTTAAATACAGCATCAATTAATTGCTTCATATTTCTCACAACTCAGGAGACCAGGCACAAGTTATCAGGGCTTCAGCTCACTGTCACAGGTTGAAATCAAGGTTGCTACTGTGAGTTTATATGAGGTTGTTGTGCATGTTTATATAACCCAGTATTTATTGTAGAATTCAGTTCTTTGTTGTTACTGTTGTTTTTGTAGGATTTTTGGACCATGTCAGCTGTGCTCAGGGGTAACTCCTGTGTGTGTGGGTGGGTGGGTGGAGGGGAGATTGTCAGAAGAGCATATAGTAGTGGTGCTGGGGATTGAACCCAGATTGGATGTGTGCAAGACAAGCACCTTACCCACCATATGATTTCTCTGGCCAGGATCTAGACTTAAAGCAAATCTTTAGAATGGTTAGATTAGGCCCACCCGAGATAAAATTTTCCCTTTTGATTAACGGATTGGGCCAGAGAAATAGTACAGGGGTTAAGACACTTGCCTAACACGAAGTCAACTGAAGTTCAGTCCTTGGCATTGTATAAGCTCCTCTGAGCACTGCCAGGGGTGACTCCTGAGCACAGAACCAGGAGTAAGCCCTGAGCACCTCCAGGTGTGGCTCCAAGCCAAACCGAAAGAAAACGTAAGATGATCAGGAACAGCCCAAATATAATATTAGTGCTATTAGTCCTATGGCAAAAAAAATCAAATAGAAGAGATGATGATACAGGCAGAAAAATAAAATGATGCTTTAAAAAAGGGGATGGGCTGAGAGTAGAGAGAGATTAAGATGCTCATGTAGTGTGAGGTGAGCCTGACTGCAACCCCTGCACTTGTCCCCAGAGCTGGGAGTTACCACCAGCACCATTAGGTAGTGGGACCCTTCTGGAGAAAAAGGCAAAGAAAACAGTGTTAATTTGAAAAGAATACTGTCTTTTGCTTCCAGGGCAATCTTTACTCAGCTTGCGCCCTTGGGATAATAGGTTTTCCTTGTGGCTTCACTTCCCTCCTTCTGCATGAAGGTAAAGCTTAGCGTCCCCCGCAACTTGCCTTCTCTGTCTCTTATATAGGCCCAAGCACAGTTCTTCTATTTTGTGAGTGAGTTAACCAGGGGCGATGATCAGGGGACGCATCAGCCAGGTAAAGATGCTCCTCCCTGGAAGAACTTCCAGCCCCAGGTCTTCAGAGGCGGAACGTAGGGTGTAGAACCGTAGGCCACCTTTAGGAGGCGCTCCCACAAGCCCGGCCTCCGCGTCGCTGGAATTCTCTTTCTCTCGAAGCTCATCTCTATGGTTTCCGTTGTCTGTGTGGCTTTCTTTTTCTTTTTTTTTTTCCTTAACCCGGAACAGGCGGCGCTTCCGGTTCCGGCGGGGCCGTCCCTGGAGGCGGAGATGGCGGCGACAGCGGCTGAGGCGGAGGCCTCGGGCTCCGGAGAATCGCGGGAAGAGGCGGACGCCCCCAGCCCCGCTTGGGATGAGTCTCAGCTGCGCAGTTACAGCTTCCCGACCCGGCCTATCCCGCGGCTGAGCCAGGGCGACCCCCGGGCGGAGGAGCTGATCGAGAATGAGGTAGGGGGCGGGGCCGGGGAGGGGGAGGGGACCTGGCCCGGGGGGTGGGGGAGAGGTCAAAGGTGGCGAGAGGGTGGCGCCGGGGCGGAGCGGGGGTGGGGGGTGGGTGTGTCTGGCGGGGGCTCGGGGGCGCGGGCGCGGTGGGGGGCGCCTCCTCGGGGCCGCCGTGGCCGTGGCCCGCGCTCACCCGCTGCTCGTGTTTTGCGCGCGGCAGGAACCCGTGGTGCTGACCGACACGAACCTGGTGTACCCCGCGCTCAAGTGGGACCTCGACTACCTGCAGGAGAACATCGGGAACGGAGACTTCTCCGTGTACAGCGCCAGCACGCACAAGTTCCTGTACTACGACGAGAAGAAGATGGCCAACTTCCAGAACTTCAAGCCCCGCTCCAACCGGGAGGAGATGAAGTTCCACGAGTTCGTGGAGAAGCTGCAGGAGATCCAGCGGCGAGGCGGGGAGGAGAGGTAGGGGCCCCCTCCCTCCCGCCGTGGGTGGTCTCTTGGTGGGCGGCCCGGCTCCCGTTGGCCCCGTGGTGGGTGGCGAAGGGGGATGGGGGCGCTTTCTCGAGTGGCGGGAGGAGGGGCCGTGGGGCCGCGCGTGGAGGGGCGCCGGGGTCCCGCGCGCACGTGTGTGTTTGTGGTCCCCGGGGATGCGAGGGGGCCTTCGTTTCACCGAAACGGATCGGTGAAAGCTGAGGAAGCTGGAGGGATATGGGGAGCCTGTTGGGAATGGAAAGTCGGGACTCTTTTAACAGCAGCGCCTTCATTTCGGAGCGCGGGCTGCCAGGGGTTCTGTTTTTTGTTTTGTTTTTTAAAGAGTCGGCCATAAAAGTTTTTATGAATAGCAAGTTGCACCCTGGGGTGCTCAGGAGACCATGCAGTTCTAGGCCCTCCTTTGTGCGAAGCATGTGCTCCTCTCGTTTAAAACCCTCTGGCCCAGATATCAGGGCTTCTACTTCATATTTTTTGACTTTTTATTTTGGGCACGATATATATATATATGTATATATATTTTTTTCGTTTTTCTTAAATGCTAGAGGGGGTCAAACATAACTGTCTTTGGAATTAACCTTGAGATTGCGGGAAAACATTAAACAGGCTAGAGACAGTTCAGTGCTAACTTGTCTATTTGTTGTGATTTGGGGGAAAGGACAGGAGTTTTAAAGGAAGGTCAGAGTAGATGGGGGGAGGGTGCTACACAGGTGATAGTGAACAGGGCTTGAAAAAGATTCCTCCTCTGCTGTTTTATTTGTTTTGGTCTCACTGGCTGTGCTCAGGGCCTCCTCCTGGCTCTGCACTCAGGGATCACTCCTGGTGGGGCTCTGGGACCATATGGCGGGGAGGGGGTGGTGGTGTTGGGATTGAACGCCTGTGGGCCCTGTGCAAAGCAGACGCCCTGCCCTTTCTACCCTTCCTCTCTGCCTTTGTCCCTGTTTATAAGAAGAGCCTCTTAATAGATCCAGTATAGCACTGAGTCCTGCACCCTCGTATCACCTCTGGGAGTTGCTTTCTTCAACTCAAATTTGGTGCCCTGCTTGAGGAAACTTCTAGTCTCCTGTCTCTCTTTCTGACTCCTTAGGGCAGTGTATGATTGAACGAAAGAACTTGATATTTGTCTCTTTCTTTTTTTCATTTTGTTTTATTTTGGGGCCACTCCCAGCAGTGCCCAGGGCTTACTCCTGACTCAGCACTCAGAGATCAATACTGGTGGTGCTCAGGGGACTATATGTGATGCCAGGGATCAAATTGGGGGTGGCCATGAACAAAGCAAGCTCCTTAACTCCCTTGTACTTTTTTTTCCTGACAGCAGTACTTACCATGATAGTACTTGGACCAAAAGATTTGAATTGGATTCATCCGTTTTGTTTGTGCTTTGGACAGACTCAGCAGTGCTCAGGGCTACTCCCACCGTAGAGCTTGAAAAATTGCTCCTGGTGGTGCTTGAGCCACCAGGTGTTGCTGGGGAATCAAACCTGAGCCTCCCACATGCAAAATAGACTTACCAGGCCTTTTAACCTTCTCCACAGCCACACTAAATTTCTTGCCTCCTTTCAAAAGCATTTTACTTCATCGAGTATGACCTCTGGGTGATTTCAAGGAAAGCTTTTTCCTGTTTGCAGGTTTTGCCGTGCCAGCTGACTTTAGCACCAACCAGCTGTGCAAGTTGTGGTGATTCTGAGGTAGGATGTATTGGGATCCTTTTTGAGCTCTTCGAGCCTTTACTTGAAACAGGAAATGTTTCAGGAATTCAGTTATAATGGGACTTGTTTATACTCATGCTTGAAATGTAGTCTTGACTCAGAGTTACTTGCAAATTTTTTACATGATTATGTGTCTTTTCTCTGAGAGACCACACATTATATTGCAACTTGTAAGGGTTGCCGGTCTTCCCAAAACAGGAGCCACTGTTTCCTGCTCAAGATTCTAATTCATGTTGTCTAAGTATTATCATTGAGCCTTTTGTTCTTTTTGTGTTGTTGTTCTTTTTTGTGTCACACCGGCACCGTTCAAGGGTTATTCCTGGCTCTGCACTCAGGATTTAAATTACTCCTGGGGATGCTCGGGGGACCATATGGGATACCAGGGATCGAACCCCGGTCAACTGTGTGTGAGGCAAGCGCCTCCCCGCTGTACTATCGCTCTGCCCCCTTGATTTTATGTTGTTAGGATGGTTGCTTATGTGTTTTACCTGTATGATGGCCCCCTTATAATTCATTTGTGGGATCAGATCAGATACGTTGTGCTTTTATGCTCCATAATTCCTTCTGACCTCAGATGAGTTAGCAGCTCTGGATCTATGAAAAGCCTGCTAAGGTACTATCCTTCAGATGTTCCCTCAGGCTGTAAAAGAGAGGCCCACAGTGTGATGCTTGAAACAGCAAAGATGTTTCTCACTCACCTTACTTGACTATCATAGGTCAGCTGGAAACTCTGCTCTTAAAAATTCTTTCAACTTTTGGGCTGGAGTGATAGCACAACAGGTAGGGCATTTGCTTTGCACGTGGCTGACCTGGGTTTGATTCCCAGCATCCCATATGGTCCCGTGAACACTACCAGGAGTAATACCTGAGTGCATAAACCAGGAGTAACCCCTGTGCATCACCGGGTGTGACCCAAAAAGCAAAAAAAAAAAAAAAAATATTTCCACTTTTGGGACCCAGATTGGCCCTGCAACTGTTTTCAGGGACTTTGTAAAGAGAGTAGTTGTCTTGGTAGTGCATCCTCTGTTTTGTTTTGGGGCCAAGGCAGTTTAAGCAAGGCTAATTTCTAGGGTGCTCAGAAAAACAAGAGTGTGGGAAGTAGCTCTTGGTGAACAGTGACAGCTGTTTACCCAAGTACCATAGGGGATATTTTCAGTTCTTAGAATTTGGAGCAAGGCTAATTTATCTTTCTAGGGTCTGTGGGTAGGTGTTTAGGGATGTTTGAGATTGAATTGTTCTATGTGTATGTGTCCTTTTATGGGGGCACTTTGTGTTCTTAAAGGATTCATATAGTGAGCCAGAAATCATCTCTTCAAAATATTCACACACCATACATCAGCTAAAGGGTCACTAATATGTAAACACTTTTAAAAAAAACTTAACTTAAAAAAAAATAGCCCTGTCAAAAAATGGGAGTGACCAGAGCAATAGTACAGCAGGTAAAGCACTTTTTTTGCACATGATTGACCCTGATTTGATCCCCAGTAACCTGTATGGTCCCTGGAGTCCACCAGGAGTGATCTCAGTACAGAGCCAGAAGTAAACCCAGAGCATCACCGGTTGTGACCCAAAAATAAAACAAACAAAAAAAAATGGGAGAAGAGTTGAATAAACACTACCAAAGAAGTCATATATGGCCAATAGGTAACTGAAAAAAATGCTGAAAAAAAAATGCTCATTGTCACTTCTGATCAGGGAAATGGTGAGTTAGAATGACAGTAAAGGTACCACTTCAAGACTATGAGGATAATCAAAACAAACCAAAAACAAGCACTGGCAGAACTGGAGCAAAAGGAACCTTCATTTACTCATGCTTGGAATACAAATCAAACCATCCCCTAGTGAAAACAGTATGGAGAGTTCTCACAAAATTAATAGAGGGACCAGAGAGATTGCTCAGTGGACTGAGTGCATTCTTTACATGTGAGAGGCCCAGGTTCCAGTACTGCATGGTCCCCAGAACACTGCCAGGTGTGGTCTTAAAAAGCCCTATAGCAACTATCTGATTCAGGAAGACCACTCCTAGGTACCTATCCCATGAACACAAAAACATTAATTCGGAGAGATAAATGCATTCTTAACAGTCGTTGTTATTTACGCTAGCCCAAATTTGCAAACAGCCTAAGTGTCCAGCTATAGATCAGTGGATAAAGATGTGGACTCTATAATGGAAAACTGCTCAACTGTTAGAAAAGAGGAGCTCTTGCCTTTGTGACACAAAGGATGAAACTGGGGGCGGGGGTGGATTCATACTAACTGAAGGAAGTCAGAAGGAGAAAGACATACTGGAGAATCTTACACAAGACAAATCTCTTGTGTAAAGAAAGCAAGGAAAGAGTCAGTGTCCAATGAAGGCACGGATGCTAAAGAGGACTGCAAGGGTTGAGTAAATGATGATGGACAAAGAGTGACACTGTGGTGGGCCTGGTATTGGTAGCTTTTTCCTCTAAACGAAGAGTTATAAAATGTAAAAACAGGTATAGGTATATATTACAGAGAAACTATTTTCACTACTATTGGGGTGGGCGACGGTTGGCACTGGGAATTGAACACAGGACTTCACGTTCAAGGCAAATACTTGCCACTGAGCCACATACCTAGCTCCTTTTTCCTTAAATGAAAGTCTGACTGTAACTCAGGGGCTACTACTGGTAGTGCTCAGAGGATATTGTGCCTGGGATCATGCCCTGGACTCCAGAGGCACCGCCTATACTCCAGCCCTTTGAGCTGTCTCCCTAGCCCCAGAGTCTCCTCTACAATAAAAGGGGGCCTGAGGAGATAGTTCAGTGGCAGGCCACTTGCCTGAATTATATCCCTGGTGCAGGATGTTCCTACTCCTTCAAACTTACTGCTCCCATCAGCGCTAGATACTGCCCTGGTTGCCTCCAAGCACAATATTCTTGGACCTGAGCTTTGCTGAAGGTGACGCCTATAAAAAGGCATTTTATTTTTTTGGGTCACACGCAGCAGTGCTCAAGGATCACTTTTGCTGGGGCTCAAGGGACTAACTGGGGTGCCAGGGCAGGGATCGAACTCAAGTCAGTTGCATGCAAGGCAAGCAAGCACGCTACTCAAAGTACTCTTACTTAAGTATTTTTATTTTTAAAGGTTGGTATTGAGCAGAGTGCAGAGAAAAAAACATAAGGAGAATCGATGTTGACTAAGGTTTGCACGGCTGCACCTTTCCTCTGTGATACTGATGTGGGTCTGGATTTCCAGGCATGGGGCGAGACATGCACTAATGAGATTTTCTTCTTGGGGAACATAGGTTGTATCTGCAGCAAACACTCAATGACACTGTGGGCAGGAAGATTGTCATGGACTTCTTGGGTTTTAACTGGAACTGGATTAATAAACAACAGGGAAAGCGTGGCTGGGGGCAACTGACCTCCAACCTGCTGCTCATTGGCATGGAAGGTAAGAAATCTTTCAGAAAGCAGCATGCCTTGGAGTCATAAAACCACCATTCATTAGCTCCTTGAGTTTGAACAAGTCACTGAATTTTCTTTTTTTGGGGTGTGTGTGTGTGGGGGGTATAGGGTTGGTGGAGTGAAAGTCTCTCAAGCAGTGCTCAAGAGTCTCAGAGACCACCCTTTAGCATAGTGGCCAACTGAACTGGACAATTCAGTGCATGGGCCCAGCACTGTGTTGCCAAGTTGGGTCCAGTGTACTGGGGGGCAGTTAGAGCCTCACCTCGTGGTGCTTGGGCATCGTGTGGTACAAGGGATCAAATTGCACTGCACTGGTCTTGCACCCTGACTCCGAGCTATCTCCCTAGCGCCTTGCTAAATTTGCTTAAATTTTAGCCTTTGGCTTTGTGAAAGGGACACAGAATCTTATAAATAGCTGTGAATAGTAAGTTGGATAGTATTTGTTAAGACTTTAATCTAGTTTCATGCACTTTAAAATAAAGGAAGTCGTTCTCTTTTTTTGTTCAGTAGCATGTGAGTGCATATATTCACATGTAAGGGGTATCTTTCTGAAATACTGCTGTTGTCTATTGGATTCAGAAAGTTTTCATTCCAATAGTAAGAGAGATACTTTCCAAGGATAAATGTTATTGTCTTTCAATAATGCATTCATAGCATTAAAAATCAAAAGGCATACGGCCGGAGCGGTAGTATAGCAGGCAGGGTGCATGCATGCAGCCAACCTAGGTTTGGTCCCTGGCACTCCCTCCATAAGGGATCCCTGAGCACAGAGCCAGGAGTAAGCCATGAACACTGCCAGGTGTGGCCCCCAAATTAAGAGGACTAGAGCACATGTTTCGCGTGTTGGTGCTCTGGATTTGATCACCAGCGCTAGATGGTCCCCAAGGTAAGCACTGAAGAGTGGCCCTTAGAATCGTGCTTGAGAGTAGAGAACCATGTTGGGAGTGGCGCCTGGCCCCTCACCCCCACCATGACTAACCTATCCCCGTCCTGCTAGTTGTGCCTTAAAGGAAAAGGATATAAATGGTACTTCGTGATAAATGTCCTTTCTATTCCGTTCTTCAAAACTCCTCTGTTTTTTCCTTCGAGTCATGCATGCATGTTTTTAGTTGCTTGTAAGTCCTAGAGGATTTTACACATAAGCACACATGAGTTTTTTTTTCTTTAAGTATGGTGGTTTATATTTTGGGGGAGCTTGGAGGGCCATGTCCAGTGATGCTTGGGGGCTACTCCCATCTGTGCTCTGGGAACCAAGCAGTCAGGGAGCAAACTGGGTCAGCTGCATGCAAGGTAAGTGCCTTAACCTCTGTACGATCTGGCCCTGTTTTTTGTGGGGGGGTCGGGAGGTGGGGTTGGGCCACTCCTGGCTGTATAACACTGCATAGTCAGGTCCTGCCATTGACCTGATTGGTTGAGTACAGTGGGAAGTTGCTCTTACCCCGTGACCCTTATCCTATATCTTAATGGGATTATTACTGATTTGGCAGTATCAGACTCAAAGGACTCAAACCCCAGGCCTCTTACATGCAAGGCAAGTGCTCTCTCTGACCCCAGCCTCAAACTGTATATTTTGAAGCCATTTCTTGGTTAACCAGAACTAGCCAAGAGTTCTGGCTTTCTGCTTTATTATGCTCTGGTAGAATTCAGGGAAGCAGAGCCCTCAGGAAGACATGAGAGAGCAAATCTTTGAGGATGCCATGGACTGGCAGCATCAAGAAGCCAGAGAGACAGTACAGTGGGTAATGCATTTGCCTGGCACACAACCAACCCAGGTTCAATCCCTGGCACTCCACCTGCCGCCAGGTGTGGCCCTAAAAGGAAACTAAAAGGGAAGCCATCTGGCCTACCCCAGAAGACCTGGGGGGTGTTGCCTAAACTCCTATCTTGCAGAGAGCTCTTCAGCTGTCAAGGATCATCCAAGGATAAATAACAGATGTGGCCCCAGCTAAATAGAGGAGATGGAGAATGCATACACATGGGCAGAAGTAATTCACGATGATAATTAAGTTTTATTCAAATCATACAGCGCGCCAGAATCAGATTTGCTTTCCCTGAGAAAATCAAAAGCCCTGTTGTTATTCTAAGAAGTGTTGCGTCCCACAAATGTATTGAAGTTGGACTGAAGGTTGAGACTCTCTGAGCCCCAGACGAGCTATCCTTAGCATGTTCGTACAGCTTCGAACAACTGGTTAACTCCAGCAAGGAAAATGATGCATGCTTCATCAACACCAGTCACTTCAGTGGTTTCTGACTCTAGTTTTGCTGCCTTTGTATTCTTGCCCTCATTAAGAAAGTGGATAAGCATGCCTGATACATTACTTGGTCTTGTGATGTGCCATTGCTTCCAGTAAGGGCAGCAATGATAGTATTAAAAGGCAACGTTGTAGGAGGTCAGAGAGCAGGTAGGGCGTTTGCCTTGCACGCAGCCAACACATTTCAGTCCCCAGCATCCCATATGGTCCCCCGAGTCCCACCAGGAGTAATTCCTGAATGCAGAGCCAGGTATGCCCCCCCCCAAAAAAAAATTCTACTTTGTATTTAAAGCAAACTCTTAGATTATAAGAACAAAATGGTGCTTACCAGAGGGGAGGAGGATGTGGTGAATGGAACTTAAAACTTCCTGCAGTGATCATATGTGTAAATAAATATTAAATTATTATGATTCTAATGCTATATTTCTGAAACTTATACAATGTTATGAATATGTTATCTCAATAAAGTGTTTTAAGAAAAGAAGAAAGTCTACTCTGATAATTGATGGTGAATCCTTAGCCGGTGATGCTTGCTAGATTTACTCCCCATTTGCATGTGTAACACTTGGCACCAGAAAGAAAGAGAGAGCGAGAGAGAGAACTCAGTAGGCTGAGCACATGTTTTGCACACGAAATCTGGGTTCTGTCCCTGGCACCCTCTGGTTCCCTACATACTGTGAGGAGTAGCCCCTGACTGCCAGGTGTAGACCCCAAATCATTAAACTATAACCCCTGTGCCAGGGAGATAACTTGAAGGGCTGGAGTGCACTGCTTTATATGCATGCTGAGCTCCAGCTTCGTCTTCGGCTCTGCATGGTGCCCGGAACATAGCTGGCACTGTCTTCCCTCTCCATCCTCAGCTCTACTAGTTATGTCTCCCCCTCCCCACCTCGAAAGAAGCAACCAAAATATAACCTCTAATTTCAGTCTCCCCGTTTCTGCCTTTGATTTGGAGCCCTCTGCTGAGAGGACAGACTGGATTGCTCTCTAGCACCGGGCCCTGAGTTTCAGCAGTATGCCCTCTGCTCTGGATGAGAAACTGTCTCTCCCCACAGGAAATGTGACGCCTGCTCACTATGATGAGCAACAGAACTTCTTTGCTCAAATAAAAGGCCACAAGCGGTGCATCTTATTTCCCCCGGATCAGTTTGAGTGCCTCTACCCGTATCCTGTTCATCACCCTTGTGACAGACAGAGCCAGGTGAGCTGTGGGAGAGGTGGAACTGTTTCAGGACCCAAGGTTGGCATGTTTTTCCCTTTGTGCTTGTAAGCCCGGTTTGGTCCGAGTGATTTCATGGTGTGTCTCACATAGTCCAGTGCTGACTCTCATGTTGTTGGACATGGGTTACCTTGTTTGATTAACTTACATGTACCTGGAATATGTTGTAAATGAACCAAATGGGTATGTGCTGTTGAATTTAATCGTTGTTATATTTTGATGTGGATGTTATTTCTTTTTGATGATGGGTGGCTAGAATTGAGATTAGTCACTCAATGTCTTTCCTGGAAATAAGTGATGTATGGTGCTTCGTAGCCAGAGAGGTCTACTTCGTTTTTGAGAAAATTGCCTAGCCACCCACAGAATACTGTTTGTTGAGTAGAGTACATTTGGGAGAAAGTTCTGGAAGGTTTGGGTGAAAGATGGGTCTCGGTTCCTCATATCTGCAGCATAGGAATTGACCCTCTTGACTTGTAAGCTGCATTGATTGACTTCTGACCTGTGGAGCACTGAGGCCTAGGATTCTTTATCGCTTTATACTTAGCATGCTTGTTTTCCTTCCTTCTGTGAGAGATATGGGACTGGGGTGAGGTAGTTGTAATCAGTTATTTGGGACAGCCTGGGAGGTTGACTGTCTCAGGATAGCAGTTCCAAGTTCATGGGTAGATGAAGAGGCATGGGATTGGACTGACTTCAACAAAGAGGTTGGGTGGTCCTAGGAAAAAGTACGCGCGCGTGTGTGTGTGTGTGTGTGTGTGTGTGTGTGTGTATGTACACTAAATACAGTGGTGGTGTTTCCACTGCTGAATTATGTTCTCAGGCCCTTTTTTTAAACTACAAATAGTTGTTAGTGATAGGTAATGGTGATTGACTAATTTTTTTTTCCCCTTCTTTCTCTTGAACCTCTCAGGTGGACTTTGACAATCCTGACTACGAGAGGTTCCCCAATTTTCAGAACGTTGTTGGTTACGAAACAGTGGTTGGCCCTGGTGATGTTCTCTACATCCCAATGTACTGGTGAGGAGGAGGGACTGGGACTGGGAACTCCCCTGCCAAGATTTATCTGGGTGTGCCCCCCCCCCCAAGTTGTGGCTAGGTTGGTCTTACATAGTCTACAGAAAGATTGTCATATCCAGATACAAGCACACTGAATATGGGGGAAGACACAGCCCTGTCTCCAGGACGAGACGACAATTCCTGAAGTCCAGAGTGGTCCCACAGGAGGCTTGAGGCAGGCATACTTGCTCTTCACTCGTTGGCATTTGGAGACTGATCAGTACTTACTGCCTTCTGCCTTTTGGGTGGGTTTGATCAAGTGAGGGTAAAGTATTATATATTCATTTTCCCCTCTTAGCTGGACTCTGCCTAGTGTTCCATGTTTCCTTTTGGGAAGTATTGATGGCAAACAGGAACCTGTTTTTTTTTTTTTTTTTCTTGCAGGTGGCATCATATAGAGTCATTACTAAATGGGGGGATTACCATCACTGTGAACTTCTGGTATAAGGTAAATATGGGCTGGTTTTGTTCTTGTTTTTGTTTTTCATAGATGGGACTGGGTGAGGTAGGTAACAGCAATGGGTTATTTGGGATAGAGTGGGGAACTTAGCTATCTCTGGATGTGATTTCTAGGTCATTGGGGAGTTGGAGAGGGTTGGGAATGAGCCAGTTTCTTAGGAGGGTGGATGGTGCTGGGAACAGTGGGTGATGCTAAAGCTTGAGCTGCTGCTTCCTTTGCAGGGGGCCCCCACCCCTAAGAGAATTGAATATCCTCTCAAAGCCCATCAGAAGGTCGCCATAATGAGAAACATTGAGAAGATGCTTGGAGAGGCCTTGGGGAATCCACAAGAGGTATGTGGCTGTCCCGAGGTGGCAGTCCTATAGGTTCACCGGCAGAGTGACCAGGGAAAAGGCAAGATTGGGTCATATTCGCCGGAGCTCACCTGTTTCCGCGTTGAGTGTTCTCCCTGTTCATAGAGGTTATTGGAATTTTCAGAAAATCCTTGTTTTCTGGTGAGAGCTGGGCTTGACTGGCGGATCAATTGTAATCTGTTCCGTGCTGGTGGTAATGTTCCCCATGGGGCATTTGTACCAGCTGGGGACCCCTGAAGGGATTCTTCTGGAAAGAGAAGCGAGCAGTAAAGCAGCTCTTCACTCTTTCCCAGCTTTGCCGCGGCAGCTATAGGTAATGTTGAGACCTATTTCACACTCAGGTGTGGAATGTGCCAGCGGCCCATTGGGTAAATGGGGGACATTTGTGTTAGGAACGCTCCCAACTCCTTCAGAGGCCCTATGAGGTTGGGAGATGCCACCAGACCTAATTACAGGTGACCTGTTTAGGTAGTGAGGGACCTGACCTTCTTATGGCACCCTTATAAGGCACATGCTGACACTTTCTCTTCTGTGCTCCCCTAATTTCTGTCCATCAGTTTGCTGCAGGCTTCCAGGCAAAGGGGGTGGTCACACAGGTTGGACTCAGAGAGCAGGACCATGCCCCTGAATCCTGGGTGGGTCTCCGGGAAGAGATTATTGGAGGGTCTATTTGACTGAATGAAAGCCATGTCCCTGTCCTTGGTGGGACGTGACTCTGTCCCGGGCCCAGAGCAGGCCCTTCTGACTGGTTCCTCCTCTCTCTTCACAGGTGGGGCCCTTGTTGAACACAATGATCAAGGGTCGCTACAACTAGCCTGCTGGGAGTTGAAGCCTCCTGCCAGGCGACCGCTCGCTCGTCCACACTGCTTCATTGATGAGGACAGGAGACTCCCAAGCGCTAGGATTGCACGCTGCACTTCATGGACTGGACTCTTGCCATGGTCCTGAGGCAGGTGTCCGGGCGAGGCAGGGTGGCTGGCGCTCTACTCCACTCGGAGAGACTTCTTACCCTGGCCTCTCTGCCCCCGCACCTCCTCTCTGCCCCCCGAAAGTCCTCTATTTAGTGTGTGGAGTTCCAGCTTCTGGTCGTCCTCCTGTCTGTTTGTCGGTCTGTCACTCGGGATGTGTATGTGTGTGCGTGTGGCCTGCACACACACGTGTGTATCTGTTCCTTGCTCCCCCCTGTTGGGTCAGGATCCCACTCGTGGCTCTCAGCCCATTCTCCTGCAACCTCAGTGCCTCAGCCTGAGAGAGGAGATGCTCCTGGCTGCCCCCAATATCCGATCTGCAGGGCCACAGCTGTCCTGGCCCTTGGGGCAGTCGGCCTCTTTGCAGCGTTCACAGAGCCAGGCTCTGGCCTCAGGGAATGGCTCCTGGGACTCCAGTGGGGACAGCAGGATGGAGCCTAGCCTGGAAGAGCCTCGTGGGCCTGCCCTTGAGAATCAGATGGGGTTCGAGCCAAGTCCTTCAAGCTCAAGCCATATATAGAAAAAGAGCCTTGGGACACAAGAAGGAAGCATTGGGCTAAATTCCAAATTATAGACACATGGCTTTTCTCTTTCTGCTCCAGCTCTTGCTCCCTCTGCTGGGTGCTAGGGGAGTTCTAGCAGTGGCTTCTCTAGGTTCTAAGGCTGCAAGTCTGTGAACGTGTGCGTGCATATGTGTGTGTTCACACACTGGCCTGCCTCTCTGCTTAGGTTTCTCCACTGCTTGGCTGTGTCCAGTGGTACAGAGCGCGGGAGCCCCAAACAACGGCTGCCTGGCCTTGCCTGAAGCTTTGAAAGTCCCTTGTAGCCGTGTGTCTAGGTCAGGTTTTCCTGCAGACTGCACAGGTTGCCGGGCAGAGCCTCCAGCTCTTCACCGTCCCCGCCTGGGTCATAGCCTCGATTCCTGCAGAGCTTCCTGGCGGAGTAGTTGAAAAGGGTTCCGGCTTAGGCAAGTAATACATCACCTGCTGCCCACTTTGGAGCAAGGACAGAAATGTAGTCTTGCCCCTTCAAGACAGCGCCTCTGCCAGTCCCGCAGCAGTGTGCCACAAATCCCCTCCCAAGTCAGGGTAGGTGGCGGGCAGAGGGGTGGGCTGTCCTTTTCTGTTCATAGCTCTTCACGGGCACCCCTCTCAGGACTGCAGCTTCCAGCTGAGCAGCTGGGCGCTGTACAACTTAAATGGCCATTTCATCACCCAGGGGGACCCGGCAACCGGATGGTGTGGGAGTGTCTGTCTGCTCACTGCCTCCTCGTCTCCATGCCCATTCTCTCTGGAAGAAATGAAGAATTGGAAGTTTCTGGGCTTTTCGTGGGGTTTTGCTTTTTTTTTTTTTTTTTTTTTTTTTTTTTTTTGCCAAAGGTTTATTTCCACTCTCAGCTCTGGCTTTTATTCCCCTGGAACTCAGTTTACAGTTACAGTGCACTGATGGACTGAGTGTACGTGTGTGTGTGTGTGTGTATGTGTACGTGTGTGTACATGTGTGTGTGTGTGTACGTGTATGTGTGTACGTGTACGTGTGTGTGTGTGTACGCGCGTGCGCTTGTGTGCCTGTGTGGATTTGGGGAAGGCTGTTGATTTTAGAACCCCCTGGGGTTTTCTGATGCAGTGTGTGTGTTTGCAAACATGGTACCTTCTCACGTGTAGTGCTTTCAAGTATGTTAGTATTGGCAAATTGGAATTGCTCTGATCCTCCTCCCTCCCATCAAAGAGGCACACAGAGGAGTCCTGGGGAGCGGATGGTCCTCCTCAACTTGCCGCTGTCAGCCTCAGCTCTTAGAGCTGTGGGCTGTGCACCGGGTGGCGTGTGCCTCTCGGCTGCCCCAGCTCTCAGTGACTGCAGCAGAGGTGGGCGGGGGGCCTTCCTGGGTAATAGAGTTGTGCCTCCGTGTAACAGATGCCCAGTGCTCTTGTCTTTTTTTCTCACAGCCCTGGGATGCAGGAAGGGACTGAGAGAATTGATGTAATGAGGGCAAGTGGGATTGCAACCTTGTGCTATTTGGCTGCAGCTGTGTTCTCCCCTCTCCACTGGATTCTGCTCTTGCTCCTGCCCTGTCTCCTCCTGGCCACCGTAGACCATCCTCATTGCTCACTGTCCTGGACCAACTCTGGTCAGCTGAGATCATACCAAGAGGCTGCAGGAGACACAGTCCCGGGCTGCAGCTCTTTGGGCTTTCGTGGAGGGCAGTTTGGGAAAGCATTTTGAATCGGGTGCTGGGAGGAGCTCCCACGGAACGAAGTTTACTCTCCTGTTGCCTTGTGTTTCCTCGAGTGTGCTCCTGCAGCTGTAGAATCGAAGGTCTGAGTCTGAGAAACCTTGATTCATGTTCCGCTCCTTTTCCCGCCAAGGAGGAGGCGGAGCCTCTGCACTGAGTGCGGTTCGGGCTGTTTGGGCTCTCCTCCATCACTGGAAGAAGCAGTTCCGCTCTGTTGCTCTCCCCTTGTTCTGGTCCGCACACACCAAGGGCCTGTATGGAGGTTAACCATGTTGCAACCCCCCCCCCCCTTTTTTTTTAAACACTATCAGGTACAGAGGAGATAACTGTTCAGTGAAGTCAAATATTTGTTGGGGGGCCGGGGTTTGGGAGATGGAGGAGGGGCTGTTGTGGTTATCAGTTGAGCAGATGCCCAGGATGCCTGGGGGAGACCAGCTTCCCCTACAAATCAGAGCTCTAAATTACAAGGTTTTTACCAACGCGAACAGTTGGGGGAAGTCGTCTGCTCTCATTTGCGTAATGGTTTCTGTCACTGGTGATTAGACACAGGATGAAGGAAAAGAAATTTGACAATTAGGAATGAGCGATCATTAATCTGAATCTGTTAAGAGACAGAGAGGGGATGGCTCCTTATCAATGGGCCAGCCCAGTGTGGAGAGACCCTCCCTCCATCAGTGTGCCCACAGGCAGGCTGAGACTGGGACGCCTAAAGGCTCTTTGAGCAGACCCAGTCCTCAGCCTGAAGGTGATACAGGAATAGGCACCTACCACCAGCGCCAGCAGGAGAGAGCTCGGGGTCAGATGGCGACCTACGGGGCAAAAGGTGAAATAGAAATGTTTGGGCATGTGCTTGCTGTGTGTGGGAAATAATTTTGTGATACTCCAGGTATAGCCCACCTGTGACCAGTATTTGTTGCCTTTCAACCCTGCAGGGAGTGGGTAAAGCCTGCTCTTTATCCTCCAGAAGCTTCCACGTAGGTGGAGAGGGAACCACGTGAAACAGTTCGCGTTGATGAGGCCAAAAGGTGGTACGCTCTTGAGTCCAGGGTTAGAGATGCTGAGGAGGCAGCGCTCTCCTGCTCGGATCCTCTGAGGCTCCCAGGGAGGAGCTCTCCATCCCTGCCTCTGGGCAGCCGCGACCCCCAACCTTGTCATTGCGTCTCGTGTGGTGAACACTGAGCTTCCCGTCCCGATGGGAGTCTTTCGATACAGAGCTGAACGCTGGATTGTGCCACCACTCCAAGTGACCTCATCTCCTCTTTTTCTTGAGACATAAAGAATAGTTTTCAGAATCAGTGGGCCCAGTTGGTATTTTCTCTGGTGGGTTTCTTGAATCGATTCCCTGTAGTGGGGCTGAGAGTGACAGTGCTTTGTCTCCATGGAACATGATTCACCTACTCAGGGGATTTTATCTTTTTGGACCCCACTGGTAACAGCCCTTCCTCTGAGTCTTTGAACCGTCAAACTCGAGTGCAGAATTCAGAGGGCTGTAGGGGTCAGGTCTTCCCCAAAGAAGAGGAAAGCTGGGCTGCACCTGCAGGTGGCTGGCGGGTTCTAGAGGTCTGACCTTTCAGCCCATGTCCTTTCTCCCTGGGACTTCGAGTAGCTTGTCCACTGGTCGCCACTTGCTCTTCTGATGGCTTTTGCCAGAGCTGGCCCAGTTTCTCAGCTGGCCCTCCCCGTTGTCTTCAGTAGCCCGCCTGACCGGTCACAGAGATCCCCACACCCTCACGGTACCCTTTGTTCTGAATAGTTTCCTGGCTGCTGGTGTTGGGATAGGCTTATCTCCCAGCCCCTCTTCCTGTGCATCTCCGAGCCATCTTTCTACTCTTCAAGCTCTGTTGATTGAGCTAATGTTTGTCCCTGTGTCTGCTCTAACTTCTTGCCATTCCTCTGTCAGTTCTGTACACCCTGGGGACTCTGTTTAGTGCTTTCCTGGGAACAAAGCTTCAGACAGTGACAAGTCAGAGAGGCCCAGAGGCCTGCAGTCACCACGCCCTCCAGAGATGGCTGAGGAGAGGGTCCTAGACACTGGTGGACAGTGGAGAAAGACGCCCCTGTCTTTTTCCACCGGGGCCGCGCCTGGCAGCACAGGTGCAGGCTTGGTTCCCATCCAAGTGTGGCTTGGTGCCTTGGGATCATGCACTTCCGGAGGAGTATTTTCGTGAGTGTCTCCTTATTTCCCTCAGGTGACAGGTGATGTGCCCAGCATTGGGCTGACCTTTATATTTTAGTGGTTGCTAGAAGGAAAACAGCAGATGGCGAGTCAGAGGATCAGGGGTGGAGGTGATAGATGAGAAGGGCCCTGCAGACTAGGGGAGCAGGAGAGCTGTCCCAGGGGTCAGCCTGGACCGTTTCCACATCTGCAGTATGATAGCCGACTAAATAAGTTAGAAGAACTGGATCTTGACACCTTCACCTAAAATCAGGCCCTTGGGTAATATTTTGGCAAGGACTGTGTCCCCTTTCACGTCAGTGTGACAAAACAGTCTAGCATAGTGTTTAAAAGCGTGGATTTTGGAGTCATGAATTTAGTTCAGGATTCTAGCTGTGCTACTTACCAGCTGGTTGTGACCTTGGTTGATTTCCTTGACCTCTCTGAGCCTCTGTTTCCTCAACTGATATGTGTTTGGGGAAAGGGAGGTGTTGAAAATAACTACCTCAGGGTTGTTGGATATACCGAAATGTTGTAAAGCTTTAGCACAGTGCTTGGCAAGCACTTAATAAACGGCTGTGGTGGTGGTGGTGGTGGTGTTTATTCATAACTCACTCAGAAACTTGATTCCATTGGCTTCCAAGAAGATTTCCAGTGATACCTGTCTTCAAGAAAACCCTTGGGAAGAATAAGGACACGCGGACTGGAGAAATGCATGCTGCTATGTGGGCAGACAGA